GATCTCGGCTCACTGCAACCTTTGCCTCCCAGGTTCAAGCGATTCTCCTGCCTCAGCCTCCTGAGTAGCTGGGATTACAGGCATGCACCACCATGCCCTGCTAATTTTGTTTTTTTGTTTGTTTGTTTTTTGAGATGGAGTTTTGCTCTTGTTGCCCAGGCTGGAGTGCAATGGCGTGATCTCAGTTCACCACAACCTCCGCCTCCCGGGTTCAAGCGATTCTTCTGCCTCAGCTTCCTAAGTTGCTGGGATTACAGGCGCCCGCCACCATGCCCAGCTGATTTTTTGTATTTTTAGTAGAGATGGGGTTTCACCATGTTGGCCAGGCCGGTCTCGAACTCCTGACCTCAGATGATCCACCTGCCTCTGCCTCCCAAAGTGCTGGGATTACAGGCATGAGCCACCACGCCCGGCCCCACCTCTTTTAACTTTAAATATATTCAGGTTCTTGAGATGGAAAGCAAAGCAGAATAATATAGTGTCATTTGGGATACTTTAGAGGTAACTTCAGGTGATAAAAGATCCCTTCAAATTCTAGACCCCTTTCAGCGTTTTGTTTCTAATTAAAGTAAAAGGTTATGAGGAGGCGGAGGGTGAAATAAGGAAAAGAATGCTGTTATAATGGAGGTGGGAGACAGATTCTGAAGGTAGAGAAGGGAAAAAACAGGAATAAGCTTCTCAAGAAGAGGAAATACAATAATAGTAAGGGATAGTGAAGGTTTAGGTGACTTTTAAGAGCACAAAATCATGAACAGTTGGAACTGGAATATGAGGAGCAGGAATTTGAACATGGTGGAGGTCAGGTCAGGTGACAGAAGATAACACATCACAGTCACTTGGTCACTGAGAAGTGATGCTGGTCCACTAGGGTAGAGGGAGCTCAGTCTTGGCCACCACAGCTCACCACCTCTTTTTCTCCCTTTGCAGTTCTGAAACAGCTGGAAGAACTGCTGAGTGACATGAAAGCCGATGTGACTCGACTCCCAGCTACCATTGCCCGAATTCCCCCAGTTGCTGTGAGGTTACAGATGTCAGAGCGTAACATTCTCAGCCGTCTGGCAAACCGGGCACCCGAACCTACCCCACAGCAGGTAGGACCATTTTCTTCTTGACACCACCTCTTCCTGCAGAACCATTCTGGAGCTTGTAACTTTGTTGTATGTCCCTAGCTTTACATACTGGGTGGGTAGGCTGTCAGTGAATTCCCTTGAGATTGGGTGGATTCCTATCATCTGGAATTCTGACTCCTTGGGTCTCCTTCTCTAGGTAGCCCAGCAGCAGTGAAGATGCAGACTGATACCACCTCCACCGCTGAGCAGTGACCTTCCTCACTTTCTCTTGTCCCAGCTTCTCCCCGGGGGGCCTGAGAGACCCTCACCTTCCTTCTGCCCATCTTCCATGTTGTAAAGGAACAGCCCCAGCGCACTGGGGGAGGGGAGGGAGTGAGGGGCAGTGGTGCCCTTCCTGCAGGAGAGACATGCAGCAGTAGCGCCGGCGCCATCTGCAGGAGCTGGCGGGCTGGCCTTCTGGACCCTGGCTTCTCCCCACTGTAACGCCTGTTACACACAAACTGTTGTGGGTTCCTGCCAGGCTTGAAGAAAATGATCTGAATTTTTTCCTCCTTTTGGTTTTATTTTGTTGGTTTATTTTGTGTTTTCTTTTCTCCTTTTTTGGGGGTATTCAGAGTGGGCTGGGCCCCTGGGCGAGACACAGCTACCTCTGTTGGCATCTTTTTAATACCAGGAACCCAGCGGCTCTAGCCACTGAGCGGCTAAATGAAATAAAGTGGGAAAAAAAAAAAAAAAACCAAAAGCATAAAAAACCACAGCAAATTTCTTGATGAAAATTGAAAATAAAAGTTTCCTTGTATTTTAGTGCTCTGGTTCAGTGTGGGTGTAGGTGCAGGTGGATGAGTGTGTGCAGCAGGAGCCTGGCACCTGTATAGTTGAAAATTAAGGGCTATGTGGTGTCCTGATACTCCACTGAAGAACTGGGTTCTGTGTGGGTGTGCAGTGTGTGCCTGGCCAGCGATGACTTCCACCTGTGGAAAATGAGAGGCTGCAAAACTCCAAGTACCACAATGGCCTTGAGCAAGTTTAATTTCTGTGGGATGCAGGTTTCTCACGTATACCTCATACGGTTGTCAAGTAAAACCAGTCAAGTACATGGAACAGTTTGTAACACCTAACCACTACCTTAATGTTAGTTTCAAGGAAGGCTGAGGGGGTTTTCTTGCTCAGTTGTGCAAAATTGGGATGCAATTTGTGGAACAACCCAGCCTCAACCCCACGCCCCCGGAGACCCGACCCAACGCCCTCCAACCTTGAAACCCTGGTAGTTCACCCCTCTTCATGTCCCAGACCAGGTCGGCGTTGCAACCCGTTGTTTCCCAACTAATTGTAGACTCACCTGAAAGCGAGTTCCGGCCGAGGCCTCCTGCGGACCAGGTGTAGTGCAGCACCTTAACTGAGGGGCTGAGCAGGAGTGAGCATCAAGGAAGGTGCTGGGAGGTTGGGGCACGGTGCCTCACAGCCTGTAATCTCAGCACAAAGGTTGGGGGCAGGAGGAGCGATTAAGCCCAGGAGTTCTAGAGCAGCCCTGGCAACATAGTGAGACCCCACCCCCTAGACCCCGTCTCTATAAAAAGATTTTTTAAAAAGGGGCGGGGACTGGGAGTAGGAGTTGAGTGGCATGGAATTCCATGATTTTTTTTTTTTTGAGATGGAGTCTTGCTCTGTCGCCAGGCTGGAGTACAGTGGCGCCATCTCAGCTCACTGCAACTTCTGCCTCCCAGGTTCAAGTGATTCTCCTGCCTCAGCTTCCCGAGTAGCTGGGACTAAAGGCGTGCGCCACCACGCCCAGCTAGTTTTTGTATTTTTGACAGGTTTCACCATGTTGGCCAGGATGGTCTCGATTTCTTGACCTCGTGATCCGCCCGCCTCGGCCTCCCAGAGTGCTGGGATTACAGGCGTGAGCCACCGCGCCCGGCTGTTTTTTGTGGGGTTTTTTGAGGTGGAGTTTCGCTCTTGCTCAGGCTGAAGTGGCACGATCTGGGCTCACTGCAACCTCTGCCTCCCGGGCTCAAGCAATTCTGCCTCAGCCTCCCGAATAGCTGGGATTATAGGCGCCCGCCACCACGCCCAGCTAATTTTGTGTTTTTAGTAGAGACGGGGTTTCAACGTGTTGGCCCGGCTGGTCTCGAACTCCTGACCTCAGGTGATCCACCCACCTCAGCCTCCCAAAGTGCTGGGATTACAGGCGTGAGCCACGGTGCCCAGCCTGGAATTCCGTTATCTCGAGGCTCGACTAGGGCAGTGGATGCCAGAGGGCCCCGCTGTCGGGCCCTGGTTCGAGGAGAGGGTGCGGCTTTCACGCACCAGCTTTTCCAACAGAAACCGGCCGTGAGGCTAAAAGCCAACTCCTTGAGGGAAGGGCGGTCCCGCTCAGCGGTTTCTCGTCACAATGCTCCCTCCACCCGCCGCGGGTGTAAGCTGCGCGGCTCCTTCCAATTTCCCCCTACTCGCCGCCGCCGGTTCCGCTGGCGTTCCCTGGTCGAGCGTAAGTTCCGGGTGCGGCGTCCGACTGGGCGCAACAGGAAGAGGCGGGGCCGCGAGGCTAGCGTTACCCTTGCGCCTGCGTGGAAGGAGTCTGTGGCGAGTGGCGGTCGAAAGCTAGCTGCGGAGTGCACGTGGAGGGCGGCCCCAAGGGCAGTTTCGGGCCTTAACCCGCATTCTGGTGGGTCTAGAGGAAATTGCGGGACGAAGGGTGGCAGCCCTGACCTGGTCTGGGACGTGGGGAGAGGAGTGCACTACCTGGGTTTCAGGGTGGGAGGGCGTTCGGTCGGCCTCCAGGGAGATAGCGGGGGTACTTGAGTCGCGGGTGCTGAGTGAGTCGGGGGTGCTGAGTGAGTTGCGGGTGCTGAGTTGAGCTTGTCCCCTTTCCCACTGTAGTACGCCAAGCCTGCGTTCTGCCGTTTCCTCCGGCACGCGCGACGCCACCTTCTCACATTTCTGTCTGCCATAGTACCATGGGGCGCAAATTGGACCCTACAAAGAAGGAGAAGCGGGGGCCAGGCCGAAAGGCCCGGAAGCAGAAGGGCGCCGAGACAGAACTCGCCAGATTCTTGCCTGCAGGTAAGGATTAGTTGTGGTCTCCTGATCCCTCAGCTTTTGCAGTATTCTGTATCATAACCTCTTCTCTTTTTTAGTCTTTGTTCATTTTCTATTTAAGTGGAATCTTCTATGTATTAGTTACTAGGAGGTATGAATGAAACACTGTCGTTTAGATCGTAGGGAACTGTTTAGGTCGTAGAGATGTGAGGACACGGACACAACTATTCATGCAAGAAAAGGTGTGATTTAAAACATTGTGAGTTCAGAGGAAGGGGGATCCCATGCAGAACTGCATGTTAAGCTGGGTTTTGAAAAATGGGTTAAGTTGTACCAAGAGGAAGTAGTGAAGGGGAGGGGTCAGTCATTGATTTTTTGGAAGGAATGGAAATGGAAAAGCACGGATCCGGCTTCTCCATGCCAAGTAGTAGTCTACTGTGTGGAAGACTGGTGGGAGATAACACAGGACCTGGAGTTTGTGTTGGGCTTTGGATAAAGGATGCAGTTTATTGAGATAGTAGCAAGTCCTGGGCACTATGTTGAACTTGTTGGTCTTGTTATGTCACTTCATCATCTTAGAGCCCTGTGAGAGAGGCACTATTAAGGAAATGGATGCGGAGAGGTTAAGAAACTCGTATAGCCAGGCTCAGTGGCTCACGTCTGTAATCCCAGCACTTTGGGAGGCCGAGGCAGGTGGATCACCTGAGGTCCGGTGTTCAAGACCAGCCTGGCCAACATGGTGAAACCGTGTCTCTACTAAAAATACAAAAATTAGTTGGGTGTGGTGGTGGGAGGCTGAGGCAATAGAATCGCTTGAACCTGGGAGACGGAGGTTGCAGTGAGCTGAGATCACGCCATTGCACCACTCCAGCCTGGAAGACCAAGAGTGAAACTCCATTTCAAAAAAAAAAGAAACTCATATACAATTATTAAATAATGACAGGGCTGAGATTTAAATGGACTCCTTTTAATTAGTGTACTAATTCTCTTACCATGTTTATTTCCATTCCCATTTATTTTCAGTGTCCCCTGTAACTTGTTCTGCCTCGTTTTTCTTTTTCAAACAGTAAGTGACGAAAATTCCAAGAGGCTGTCTAGTCGTGCTCGAAAGAGGTAAGTGTGGGTGTCAGGACTTAATTGGTACTGCTTATCTTTGACCACAGAATTAATTCTGGACTCTCACTTTTCCCTATGGTGGAAATGGCAGAGCCTGGAAATATCTTTTCGTTTCTTTACTCCTTGAATCTCTTGTGTCTTTTCAGGGCAGCCAAGAGGAGGCTGGGCTCTGCTGAAGTCCGTAAGACAAATAAGTCCCCTGAGGCCAAACCATTGCCTGGAAAGCTACCAAAAGGTCAGTGAAACTAAGAGCTGGATGCTACATGAGGAGTCCTCTGGGTCCTGGGTAGGGAAGGACTTGCTAAACATTTCCGGAATGAAAGGAACAGCCAGAGGACATTCTGAGGGGTAGAAAGTACAGGCTCCCCAGGGTGTGGGGCCCGGGAATGTGTGGCTGCCATTAGTCCAGGACTCGTCAAACCCTTAGGGATCTTTGCAGGAGCTGTCCAGACAGCTGGTAAGAAGGGACCCCAGTCCCTATTTAATGCTGCTCAAGGCAAGAAGCGCCCAGCGCCTAGCAGTGATGAGGAAGAGGAGGAGGAAGACTCTGGAGAAGATGATGTGGTGAACCAGGGGGACCTCTGGGGCTCCGAGGATGATGCTGATATGGTAGATGACTATGGAGCTGACTCCAACTCTGAGGATGAGGAGGAAGGTGAAGAGGTGAGATTCATCTCTGGGCATTCAGAGAAGGATCCTTGCCATTTAGTTTCTTTCCAGATTCTTGAGACTGTTTCTTAGTGGCAAGGATAAGCCTGACTAGAGGAAAGGGGTTTTTGTGCTCCATCACTGTTTCCCTACTGCCTTATATCCTCTCCCAGTGCACCTACAAGTTTGAAGGAGCTGTAGGATAGAGCATTTTAAAAAATCTAGAAGGCTCTCTTGGTGTGGATGTGGGAAGGTGGACAATGGTGTGCTCCACTGATGGGAACAGAAATGCACTTTTTATAAAGCAGTTATCTCAGAACTGTGAAATATTTGTTCCTTTTGGCTGGGTATGGTGGCTCACATTTGTAATCCCAGCACTTTGGGAGGCTGAGGCAGGAGAATTGCTTGAGCCTAGGAGTTGGAGACCAGCTTGAGCAACACAGGGAGATACCGTCTCTACAAAAAATTTAAAAATTGGCTGGGTGCAGTGGCTCACGCCTATAATCCTGGCACTTGGGAGGCCGAGGTGAGCGGATCACCTGAGCTCAGGAGTTGGAGACCAGCCTGGACAACATGGCAAAACCCCATCTCTACTAAAAATACAAAAATTAGCTGGTGTGGTGGTGTGCACCTGTAATCCTAGCTACTCCTAGCTACCCGGGAGGCTGAGGCAGGAGAATCGCTTGAACCTAGGAGGCGGAGGTTGCAGTGAGCCGAGATCGTGCCATTGCACTCCAGCCTGGGCAACAAAGTGAGACTCTGTCTCAAAAAAAATTTAAAAAAAAGTTAAAAAAATTGTTTAAAAATTAGCTGGGTGTGGTGGCGTACGCCTGTAGTCCCAGCTACTCAGGATGCTGAGGCAGGAAGATGACTGGAGCTTGGGAGGTTGAGGCTGCAGTAAGCTGTGATCTTATCACTGCACTCCAGCCTGGGTGACAGAGTGAGACTGTCTCAAAAAAAACCACAAAAATTTCTTCCTTTTGACATAGTAATTCCCTATT